GCAACCCATTAACATACCTCTTATCATCAGCAAAACTTGACGCTACCGGTTACAGGTGGCTTTCAGCTTTGTCCACTTTCACCTTCAAATTAATCTACAGAGCAGGAAAGCAGAACTTGGATGCTGATGGTTTGTCTCGCCGACCTCATGGTGAACTGTCTGATGATCCTCTGTCACAGAAAGAACGTGAGCGAATCTGGAGATTTGCATGGCAACATCTCAATGAACCAGATTATGTCTCTATTGACCACCATACCGTCAAAGCAGTTTGTGACCGTCATCTGGTGTACAGTTCAAGCACTGATCCTGATCTTGCTCTGGTGTTATCCATGTCTGTCAATGTCAACAGTCTGCCTGACAGTTTCACGGACGACATCCAGTTCACCTCCATGGTACTCCCCCGAATCTCAACAGCTGACCTTGCAGCCAAACAACGCCTCAACCCTGTCATTCGGCATGTCATAGCTCAGGTTGAGCGAGGAGAGTCACCACCGCCATTCCTGAGGGAAGAACTTCCCGATTTACCTCTATTACTGCGAGAAGTAAATAAACTGGAGCTCTATAACACCCTTCTCGTCAGGAATAGACAAGTGGGAAGTGACTTCACATACCAGCTAGTGCTACCCGTGGAATATCGACCAGTTGTACTACACCACCTACATGATCAAATGGGTCACATGGGAATTGACAGAACACTAGACTTGGTCCGTTCCCGGTTTTATTGGCCTAAGATGACGAGTGATGTGGTCCATAAAATAAGACACTGCAAAAGATGCGTGAGACGCAAATCTCCATCTGAACGAGCCGCACCTCTGGTCAATATCAGAACCTCTCAACCCATGGAACTGGTGTGTATGGATTTTCTCTCTGTGGAACCAGATCGTGGAGTCAAAGACATACTTGTCATAACTGAACATTTCACAAAATATGCCATTGCTGTGCCAACACCAAACCAGAAAGCCAGGACTGTTGCCAAATGTTTATGGGACAACTTTCTTGTGCATTATGGTATCCCAGAACGCTTGCACAGTGACCAAGGCCCTGACTTTGAATCCAGAATCATCCGAGAGCTTTGTGAAATGGCTGGGATCCACAAAATAAGAACCACTCCATACCATCCAAGAAGCAATCCTGTTGAACGGTTTAACCGAACATTACTGGATATGATAGGAACACTCACAGCTCAACAGAAATCTCTTTGGAAAGATTTCGTAAAACCCCTGGTGCATGCATGCAATTGCACAAGAAATGATGTTACAGGTTTCTCACCATATGAGCTTATGTTTGGCCGCCAACCTCGCTTACCGGTGGACTTGGCCTTTGGACTACCCCTTGCCAAAGAAGGATCAACATCCCACACACAATATGCGGAAAAACTAAAGTCCCACCTAGAAGAAAGTTACAAGCTGGCCATCGAAAACTCAGAAAAGGTGATGAAACGTAACAAAAACAGATTTGATAAAAATGTCACTGCGTCACAGCTGAATGTTGGAGACAGAGTTCTTGTGAGGAAAGTGCGGCTAAGAGGCAAACACAAGCTTGCAGATAAATGGGAGTCATCTGTGTACATTGTAGTGAAGAAAGCCGGCACTCTTCCTGTGTATACAGTTCGACCCGAAGGCCAAGACAAGCCCCTGAGAACTTTACATCGAGACCTCCTACTGCCCTGTGGGTATTTACCACCTTCTGAAAAGGAAATGGTTACTAAGCAGAAGAGAAAAATGCCTGTCTTACCCCTGTCTCCTGTACGTGCTGATGCTAATGGCAATGATGAAGAGGAACTCATCTCATACCTACCTGTTCCTTTCTCTGCTGAACCTGTCACCTTCACAACAACCATTGACTTACCCAATACTCTGCAACCTGTTCCACTTATCAACCAGCCCGATGTCCCTGTAGTATTGGCTACAGAGGTAGAGAACGCTATTCTCTCAGAGGAACCTGTACCTGTTGAAGAGGAACAAGTTATTGCTAACGGAACTTTGGAAGCTGGCTTTGAGCCAGTTAATCTTGCAGAAACTTCTCATGATGAAGAAAGTCTGTCTTCTGATTCAGAAGCATCCAGAAATAACTTGTCACAACACTCACCTACTGAATCAGAGCCTCTGATTCCTGAGGCAGAACCACCCTTGAGGCATTCAACCCGCCCCAGGAATCCTCCTGATCGGCTGCAGTACATCAAGCCTGGTAAGCCTCTGTTAAAGAGCGTTCAGACCTTTCTGCATGGGTTAAGTTCTGTCTTCTCCTCGCTCTTCAAGACGATGAAGAAGAGGAGACGATGCCTTCACACCTCAGCAACCAGTCATTCGCTGCCAGCCTAGTCCATGTACGAGGATGTCCATGAGATTAGGGGGGGGAGAGTGTAACCACGGTAACTTCTGACCCCACTTCTGCCAGTCCCTTTATTGTGGTGGGAATAAACCCTGTATAAGTTCCGGGTAAATCAACTGCATGTTCCCTGCTCTTCTAGCTGCTGTTGTCCCTGTGGTTGGCGTACTTGTCAGATATCGACAAATTTTACACTACAGACCAGTTGACAGCGTGCAATAACCCGGCCGATTCATTCATCTTTACACTACCTCACAATCGACTCAACGGTGAGTTATTTGTTTGTTTTGTTTTGTCACAATTAATGAAAATGCAGAGCCGCGATCGCACATCCTAAAACGCCGGTAAGTTAATGCTAGGCTAGCGACAGTAAGTGCAATTACTAGTTTTATTTATTGAATATTGTTGCTTTTGTTTATTCCATTATGGCCGAATGTTGACTTAACGTATCTAGAGTTGAACGAGTGATTTGAATTTTGTAGTTTTGTCCGTTTTGGATGTTTTTTGTTACTTTTCTGATGAAATGCCAAAACGGCCTATGAGATTTTGCATTGAGTTAAATTCCACTGAGATTATTGAATCTGTTGCGCAACACCTGTGATTAAATGAGTTTTGTAAATATATTTGATTAACTTTGGATAATGTTTATTAGCTTTATTGCTGATATACTTTGATGGGACCCATGAGAATGTTTTTCTATAATAGTATTTTGAATGAAATTCATTATAAGAGATGATTGTTTATTGATTGTTGTATGAAACATGGCATTAATTACTTGTCTTTGTTATTTATGGATTTATGTATTTTGTCACGGCAGTAGAATGCTGTTTCATTTTCTTCTGTGATAATTTATGTTTTTGACCTTGTTTAGGTCAGGTTTTCTTTTTCTTCCGCGATCACAGCCCTGATCAGCGCGGAATGGCGAGCCACCCGACCACCGCTACGTTGCAGTAGGAATCGTAAACCTATGGACTGAATTAAACTGTTGACACATGACCTATCACAGGTCCATGGAACTAAACTAAATCTCATACTGGATCACACCTCATCCCACCTCCTTTTGGAACCTAATAAGCTGTTTTGTATTGTCAACATTATTTTTGTTTGTGATATATATGCATATTTTTTTAGCTTTTTGTACATCTGTCTATACATTTCTCAAAAATATATATATTTTGAGCTCTACTTTGGTTTCCTGTGCTTTATTCACACACTCAGGCTCCATAGTCGAAACTAATTCTGATAGCTCATTGTCTATGAAGCTGCAGTCAGGTGCCCTGGTCCTTTAACCGCGTTACATGGGACATATAAGCAGCCGGCTGTGGTGAGTGAAAGGGACACTTTTTTTGCTGCGTCAGGTTCTGTGACTGTGTTTTCTGGAGCTATTTTTTGTGTGTCTTCTGAAGATAACAATGATTTTTCCGTCGCACCCATCGCCACTGTTCCAAAGACTGCCTTTGCTGAGCCCGCATTCAGGGTTAATGACTGTGTTCACGCTATTGTTTCTAAACCTGGAGTTACTGAGTTTAGCACTACGAGTTTAGGGAATGACTATGTTAGGGGAGCCTTTTCGTCTGCATCGGTTCCTTACGGTAAAGCAATAAACTTCCCTGAAACAGTTTTTCCTGACCATATCCCCCCATCCACACCTTCACCACAATTCAATGTGGGGTCTGTAACACAGTTAGCAGTACAGTTATTAGTTCAGTCAGCAGCCCAGCTGCCCTCAGTTCAGTATGCAGCCCAGCTGCCCTCAGTTCAGTCAGCAGCCCAGCTACCCTCAGTTCAGTCAGCAGCCCAGCTGTCCTCAGTTCAGTCAGCCACTCCATCACCTGTTACACCTCCGCTACCATCATCTTCGCTACCTGTAGTTCAGTTGCCACTAGTTCAGCAGCCCACCCACTCGTTCATCCAGTCACCATCCTCACCATCTCATTACGAGCAGGGAACACACTTCATCATTACATCTGCTGGTTCTTTTACAGTTTCTTTTACAGAGACAGTTACTCCCTCTAGGGTCTCACCAGAGGCTGGGTGTCAGTCACCAGCCAACTCTGGACCCCTAGAGGTCAAGACGCCAGTGCCAGCAGCTCCACCGGACAACTCACCTAAATAGTCTCGGCTCTCAGCACCCCTGAGAATTCAAGTGAGTTCACCCATCCACCTCCGTCCTCTGCTGAGTATGTTGGGGAACACTTTCAGCTCTTCAAGGACTGCAACCCACTGTTGCTGCCTGAGTCTAACCACTGTGCTGCTCAGTCCCAGCCAGTGTCCGCACTGCCAGAGGTTTCCGTACCTGCTGCTTCAGTGTCTGTCTCCACTGGAGGGCCTGAGAAGCCCTTCCAGCCTCAAGTGTCGTCTGCTGGAGGGCCCAAGGAGCCCGTCCAGCCTCATGCCACGTCTGCTGGGGGGCCCGAGAAGCCCGTCCAGCTTCATGCCTTGTCTGCTGGGGGGCCAGAGGAGCCCGTCCAGCCTCAAGTGTCGTCTGCTGGAGGGCCCGAGGAGTCTGTCTAGCCTCATGCCACGTCTGCTGGAGGACCCGAGAAGCCCGTCCAGCCTCATGCCTTGTCTGCTGGGGGTCCTGGAGGACCCAGCAAGCACATCCTCGCGTCAGCTGGAGGGTCCGGGGAAGTTTGTTCAGCCGTCACCTGCTGAATCATCCCCTGCGACTTCTACACCGTCACCGGCAGCATCCACATCTCCGCCTGCAGCATCACCGTCAACTGCAGCATCACCGTCAACTGCAACATTACCGTCAAGTGCAGCATCACCGTCTGCAGCATCACCATCGTCAGATTCCGCAGCCATCCCGCTGCCGTCAGGTTCCGCAGCCGTCCCGCTGCCGTCAGGTCCAGCCTCTGTGTCTTCATCCAGCCTTGCCTTTCCTGGTCCAGCTTCAGCCTCGCCTTCGCCTGGTCCAGCTTCAGCCTCACCTTTGCCTGGTCCAGCTACAGCCTCGCCTTTGCCTGATCCAGCTTCAGCGTCTGGTCCTGCCTCGTCTGGTCCTGCGGATGCCACACCGTCATCAGTTCCAGCTCGTCCTGTTCCGCTTCACCTCTGCCGGCCGCTTTCCTGGTCTCTAGCTGAGCGTCATGGCCGTCGAGGCCAGCCTCCTGAGACAGTTCGTTGCCGCCGCTGGCATCGCAGCTGACCTCCGGACCTGCTCTGTTTCCACCACTGCCTTCCGCGTGGCCGGCTTCCTGATTTGTTTTGTCTGCGCCGCCCCCATTGCCGTGTGCACGGTCGGCCCCAAGAACTGTTTGCCCGTCGCCGACGTTGCTGTCCGCACGGCCGGCCCCCTGAACTGTTTTGGCTCTTGTGCTGTCCCTCCCTCTCTGTCTTTCACTCAATAGACACGCACACCACCACCATCAACTTTGCTAAATTGCTAATGAAAAACGTTGATCAGGCAGCTGTGATTGAGTAGCAATGTCCATCCAACTATATTCACAGTTGTTGTGGTCATGATGATATTGTGAGGCCACACTGAAAAGGCTCGGATGAGCTTGCCAAAGTTCTACAAGTTGTGCCTCCATCACTTGTGTCCAGCTCACACGCTGCACTGCTGTGCTGCCCCATCTTTTCACTTTCATTACTGTGTTTGCACGTGCGCAGTGTGAGAGGCTGCGTTGACACCCTCACAACGGCCAACAGGATTTCAAACAGGTTTGATTTTCTTACGACCAAACGACTGATGATCGGGAGCTGGTCGTGAGGTGTTAATCGCTTCTCGTTACCCCACGTATACTATACGATGCACAACACATGATGAAGGCGAAACTCGGGCCGATCACCAAAATGGTTGCACGACTGAAAAATCGTCTCAAAATGAGCCAAAAATCGCACAGTGTATGCCCAGCTTTAGGGAGATTAGCCTTGATGTAGCCAACAGCCCTCTGTCATTTCTGGTAAGCCAACAAGTCCGACGTTATTCCTGCGACCCCTGTGCTCCAGATCTGTGAGCTTTGTAGCGAGTTGGTCAAGTTGTTTCTTTAGATTGATAGTCAATCGTCTGTCCTCTCGTGCAGCTGCTTGCACTGAATCCACTCGGTCTTGAGTACACTTAGCCACTGTAGCCACTCTCTCGAGTTTGCCGCTAACATCATTTACCACTTCATTGGTCTTTTGAAGCTCTGTGCATAAGTCGTGTAAAGCAGGGACTGAGACAGAGTCCATAGCTTCTCTGACTGCCGAGGCAACTATTGCATTGAGGGACTTTTGTTGTTATTGAAGTGCTAGCTTTAAGCCATTAGCAATAACCTTGTTGAGGTCATCCTTAGTAACGGAGGATTCTTTAAACTTCTTTAAGGGAGAATGAACAATCTCCTTTTTCCATGAGTCTCTGGTTAATGAAGTGTCCATAGTAGGATAGGCCTCAAAATAACTAACTTGTATGACAGGATGCGTGAAAAACTGTGACTATGTGAGCAGAGCTAGAAACTATGCTGGCGAAGGGTCACGTCACAAACTTAATTTCTTAATTGCTGAAAATGCATGACAATTTCTGTCCAGTCATACTTGTCCAATAATTTGAACATCACAATCAAAAAACAGGACATGCTCAGATGAAAATGGTTTTGCAGATTTGCAGTCATCAAGTGAAATTTTTTTAAGGTATGGGTAAAAAATTCCTAGCAGTAACATGCTTGTTGACAATAGATTTTAACCATAAGAAATTTTTTAAAAAGCACTTCGTCATGGTAAAAGTGCTGTATGAATATGTTATATATTCACAATATGTTATTTTGTGAATAAGACTTCTTGTGGAAAGTACTCTCCCAGTTCTCTAAGATACTGGAAAAACTCTTCATAAAAAGATTTGACAGTTTTGTGGAAAAATATGAATTAATGACAGATAGTCAGTATGGGTTCAGAAACAACAGATCAACAGCTTTGGCACTGATAGATTTAATGGAAAAGATAACGGAATGTATGGATAATAAGAGGTGTGCGCTCGGAGTTTTCTTAGATCTAAAGAAGGCGTTTGATACTGTTAATCATGAAATTCTATTAAAAAAACTGGAAAAGTACGGGTTTAGGGGAGTGGTTTTGGAATGGTTAAAAAGCTATGTAGGGAATAGGCAACAATATGTACAAATAAATGAATATAAATCTAATTTGATGGATATAGCTTGTGGAGTACCTCAAGGTTCAGTACTGGGTCCAAAAATGTTTATTATGTACTTAAATGATATCTGCAGAGTATCGGAGATTTTAAAGTTTGTAATATTTGCAGATGACACAAATATACTGTGTGCAGGTGGGGAATTGCCACAGGTTTTGGAAATGATCACACAGGAATTAACGATATTAAAGAAGTGGTTTGATATAAATAAATTATCATTGAATCTCGATAAAACCAAATTTATGTTGTTTGGAAACCAAAAGAAAAACATCGAAGTAGAAATATGTGTTGACAATGTATATTTAGAAAGAGTAAATGAAATAAAATTTCTTGGGGTGATCATTGACCACAAGCTCTGTTGGAAGCCACACATTACTTATGTTCGGGGGAAATTGGCACGGGGCATTGCCGTCCTGGGAAAAGCAAAGCATATGTTGGATCAGAAAGCACTGCACATTTTATACTGTGCTTTACTACTGCCATATATGAGCTACTGTGTAGAGGTCTGGGGAAACACATACAAAAGTAACACACAAACAATAACTATAATACAGAAAAGGGCCATTAGATTAATAAATAATGTAGGGTACAGGGACCATACAAATGCACTCTTTGTCAAAATGCAAGCTATTAAATTCCAAGACTTGGTGAAGCTTAAAACAGCGCAAATAATGTATAAAGTAAGAAATAAATTGCTTCCCAAAGAAATCTGTAAATTGTTCATAGAAAGAGAAGGTGGGTATAACTTAAGAGGGAAATGGAATTTAAAAATACAAAGTGCTAGAACAACTTTAAGAACTATGTCAATCTCAATTGCAGGAGTTAAATTATGGAACAGTCTAACAGAAGAAATAAAAGACAGTCAAAACATAAAACAGTTTAAAGTAAAATATAAAAACCTAATTTTAAATAAGTATAAGAATGAAGAAAACGGGGTTAACCCAGGATGGTAATGTTGCTGGTAATGGTGTTGCGGTTCTTTTTTGGTTGTTTTTTTGTTTTTTTTGTTTTGTTTTGTTTTGTTGTTTTTCCATAACTTGTGTATCTGCAAATATACACATTCTGTATTTTTCATATGAAAGAAACTATACTGTGGTGGGGCTTGCTAATTTCTTGTTTTTGATTTATGTATGTTATGTTTTGTTTTACTTCATATGTTTATATGTTTCATATGTTGTTTGTTTAATTTAAGACAAAAAAAAAAATTAAATGAATGAGAGGTAAAACTTGAGGGGGTAGGGACAAATAAGTAAATACTTGAGCCTACTCCTTTTCAAACAAATAATGGAATGATATTTTGTAATGATTGTGAAGGCACATGTTTGAAATGTTTGAAATAAAAATGAACTGAACTGAACTGAACTGAACTGAAAGTGCTTTGACTGCATAGAAGGGTGCTATAAAAGTACTAGTCCATTTATGCTTTGTTAAGGTTTTTAACTATATTACATTTATAAATAATGAGTTATGGAAAGTTCAAAAGAATTTTCATTTAAAAAAACCTATTTTTTTTAAGTATTGTAAACTTCATGTAGTTGATGGAGGTGATTTTACAATTGGTCATGCTAATTTTAATTACCTTATTTAGCTGCATAAATATATATAACTGAGAAAACAGTTATATGGCTGGTGTGGTTACACGAGGTCTGCGGTTGTGAGGCCGGTTGGATGTGCTGCCATATTCTCTGAAACGCCTGTGGAGACGGCTTATGGTTGAGAAATGAACATTCAATGCACGGGCGACAGATCTGGTTGACATTCCTGCTGTCAGCATGCCAATTGCACGCTCCCTCATTGCTTGTGGCATCTGTGGCATTTTGCTGTGAGACAAAACTGCACATTCCAGGGTGGCCTTTTGTTGTGGGCAGTCTGAGGTACACCTGTGCACTACTCATGATGTCAGATCAGCATCCTGATGTGGCACACCTGTGAGGTGGGATGGATTATCTCAATATAGCAGATGTGCCCACTACCACACATTTGGACTGATTTGTGACAACTGTTTGGGAGGGATGGTTATATTGTGTATCTGGAATGAATTTTAGGTCTCTACGTCCATCCCATGGGGAATGGGAGCAGTAACAAAGGTGTTGCGTTTATATTTTTGTTGAGTGTATATAATATATATATGGTCGCCCTTAAATATATATAACTGAGAAAACAGTAAAAAATATTTAAGGGCGACCGTGGCTCAGGGGGTTGGGAAGCGCAACTGTAAGGATAGGTTGCCGGTTCGATCCCTGGGCTCTCTGTCCTGGTCGTTGTGTCCTTGGGCAAGACACTTTACCCTACTGGTGTTGGCCAGAGGGGCCGGTGGCGCGATATGGCAGCCTCGCTTCTGTCAGTCTGCCCCAGGGCAGCTGTGGCTACAACTGTAGCTGCCTCCACCAGTGTGTGAATGTGAGAGTGAATGAATAGTGGAATTGTAATACGCTTTGGGTGCCTTGAAAAGCGCTATATAAATCCAATCCATTATTATTATTATTAAAACAGAAGACACTGTGATGAATATTCATATGCTTGTCAGCATCAAAGAGAGACTTCTACTAATTGATTCATTCTACTAAATTATTTTTATGTGAATATACAATAGTAAATACTAATCTATGACAATAAAGAAGGGAAAATGTGAAATGCAGGCATATGAGATGTTTAGAATTTAAACATTACCAGAAACAGTTTAAGAAATTGTTCGTCTTGTTTTTTATGACCATTTTGTTGTCATTAATAGAAGAACAGAAATGAACATTTACATAAATGTCATGACATTTCTATAAATTTGATCTCTTTTCCTCTGTCTAGTATGTAAAATCAGAGAAAAGGTACTCCATTATCTAGTTTGCATTACAATTTAAAATTATATGCCATACATTTGATAATAGGGCAGTAATACCAGTGTTATTAAACTTGACAACAATATTTTGATATGTTTGAAAATTTCATTCATTTTGAGTCCATATATGATTGGATTTAAAAGAGGATGGAATAAAATTGACTGAAACGTCAATGTCAAACGAATAGTTTTTGATAGATCAGAATCCAGTCGAACTATAATTATATCAAGGAAAATAAAACAGGAAAAGTTGATTAACACCAGCAGGTGGGGTAAACATGTCTTTACAGCCTTTTTCCTCACTTCTCTACAACAATGATATGATATTCTAATAATCCTGATGTATGTAAAAAGTATGAAAAGCAAAGGTAGAAGGGCAATGTTTATCAACGTGACCATACCATATATAGATATTGCGACCGAGGGCACACACTGAAGCTTGTAAAGTGAATTGTTACAAAAAATTCCTGTCAGGGTAAAGCTACAGAGTTTGACATTCGAATACAACACACCCAGCACTGAGGTTTCAAAAGCAGGTATAAGCCAAGCTAAAATCAGACATACATAAATAGTTATTCTATTCATAATAACTGGATATTGCAGGGGTTTACATATAGACACATACCTGTCATATGCCATTGCTGCCAACAGTAAAAACTCTGACCCACCTGAGGTGTAATATAAAAATCCTTGGAAAAGACAGAGTGGATATGATATAGTCTGTTTTTCAGACAAAACATCAGATAAGAGCTTTGGATAGATAATCATGCTGTAAAGAACAGAGTTGATTAACAAAGCTGCAATAAAAATATACATTGGCTCATGAAGGTTTTTGTGAGTCCAAATAAGGAAAACTATAGTGGAATTAAAGCAGAGAATCAGAATATATAACGTGGATATAACTACAAAATAAAGATACCTGTATTTGTGCAATTCTGCAAACCCACCAAAAGTTACCAATGTTAGATTTAATTCAACATCCATTGACAAAAACAAAAACGTTACTGAGTATGGAACTATATTACATAAATGGTATTCAAGAATAACAAATGAAAATGCAACTGTTACTGTATTGGAATAATATATTTTCAGCACTACACTAAGAAGGTAAGTGACTGACTATATGGCTTTGTTTTATTAGAAATCTTCCATCCTCTATGGGACTCATTAGGTTCTCCACTAACATGTAAACAACTTCAGGAAATCTGACCTATAAACATCTGATCTGATGTTTATATCACTGTGCAATTCATTGAATTTGCCCATGCATTGTTTTTAAATCATTGAACTAGTATAGGCTTACTATATACGCAAAAAGTTCGAGTGTATGAAAAAAGGCTAAAGAAACCTCTTGAAAAGGAAACATTTTCTTTTTCTGTTTTCCATATGTGAATGGACATATCTCTCTGGGTTTCCGGACAGAGATCTCGGATGTTGTATTGGTATCAGATCATTTCCCCGAGTGCCCCGATTAACATAGAAACCACTGTTGCCGTGACCCTCTACATTTTATCAAGTTATATGACTATATAACACTTTAGTTAATATAAAGCATAGAATTTAGGCACTTCAGGTAACTTCATTCTAACACTTGGGTTTCTGCTGCCTGAGGTATTCACTAAGCACACAGTCTGTCGGGGCATTTCCCTGATGTATTCGTGAATGTATGTTGTCTCATCCTGGACTATGATAATGCATGGTCAGGAGCCTTCTTGTCTTGATGTCACTGGCTTTTGCCAGCCTTTTATGCCAGCAGGATACCTGATCACAGGCAGGGTGTAGGTGTTTATAGCCCAGATCTTGTTCTTATCATTCATATGACTTCTCAGGATGTGCCTGAACCTCTGCAGGTACTTAGTGGTTGCAGCTTTCCGAGTGACCTCTTTGTGGTTCCCATTTGTCTGCGTGATCCCCAGGTACTTGTGGCTGTCCTTGATGCTTGCAATGTTGGCTTTTGGTAGTTCGATCCCCTCAGTTCTGACTACCTTCCCTCCTGTTGTTATAATCCGACTACACTTATCCAATCTGAGTACTGACATGGACTAGAAATAGAGTGCATATTTCTCTTACGGTGTGTTCACACCGAACGCAATAGACGCGACCAGAGCATCAGGTTTACATGTAAAGTCAATGGAGGAACGCCATGAAGCGTGACTGGGGGTCCCGCGAAAATTCAGAATCAGATTTGCATCGTGAAAACGCATGAGTCGCGCGAGTAGCGTGACTGACACGTTTGAAGCACGAATAAAAATACATGCGGCAGTTTGTGTGCTGCATTTTGTGCATTTGCGCGTATCCAGCTTCAAGCCGTGCCACGACAACCAATTAGGAGCCTGGTGACATGATGCTCTGACCGTAGTTCAAAGGGGCAGGTCCAGCCAAAGCCACTTATTCTTCATTCAATATGGAGGAAAGGCTCATCAACGCCGTAGCAAACCACCCGGAGCTGTACGACACCAGCTGTTTTCTCTACCGAGACAGGAATAAAAAAGGCCTAGCTTGGAGGAAGATGTGTGAAGAGATCGGGCAACCTGGTAAGTTCATTCATTTCTCTTTTGAAATTTTTAACTGACCCGTGGAAGCTGCACAAAAGCTAGCAAGCCGCCTACTGTCCTGCTATTTTCCTACTGATGTACAAATACCTTTCTGCTAACGAGATTATGTACTTATTCAGAGGACATCTGCAGGAGAAAGTGGAAGAGCCTCAGGGACACATACTCCAAGTAGAAGAGGATGGAGAAGAAGAAGAGGAGCGGGTCTGCAGCAGGATCGGGATGAGATGGAAGTTCTTTGTGGTCATGGGGTTTCTGGCAGCAGGGGAGTCCCAGTCAGAAGGTATGTTTACAATGAATTAATGTTGGCAGTTAATTTATGCATGTTGTCATATAGGAATATATGTTATTGTTAACATATATGGGCATCAGTTTCCTCATGTGCAAATGGTTACTGGACTTCCTGACCAACCACCCCCAACATGTCCAGCTGGATAACCACTGCTCATCTACAATCACAATGAACACCGGTGTACCACAAGGCTGTGTGATGAGCCTTTTCCTCTACTCCCTCTTCACCCATGACTGGAGACCTGCCGATGGTTCTAACACCATCATTAAGTTTGCAGATGACACCACGGTGATTGGCCTCATCAGTGACAACGATGAGGCCGCCTACAGGGAGGAGGTGGATCATCTGGCTGAATGATGCGACACAAGCAACCTGCTGCTTAACACTGAGAAGACCAAGGAGCTCATCGTGGACTACAGGAGGAATGCTGACCCACATCCACCCATCTACATTAAGGGGATGGCTGTGGAGCGTGTGAGCAGCTTCAAGTTCCTGGGAGTCCACATCACCGAGGATCTCATCTGGACGACTAACTGCTCCAAGCTGGTCAAGAAGGCTCACCAGCGCCTCTTCTTCTTGAGGACTCTGAGGAAGAACCACCTGTCCTCAGACATCCTGGAGAACTTCTATCGCTGCACCATCGAAAGCATCCTGACCAACTGTATAACAGTCTGGTACGGGAACTGCTCTGCCTCGGACCGGAAGGCGTTGCAGAGGGTAGTGAAAACTGCCCAGCGCATCGCCAGAGCACCACTTCCTGCCATAAAGGACATCTACAGGAAGTGGTGTCTGAAAAGGGCTGGGAAAATCATCAGAGACCCCAGTCACCCATCACAAGGACTCTTCACCCTCCTGCCCTCTGGGAGGCGCTACAGGAGCCTCCGGACTAAGACCACCAGGTACCGAAACAGCTTCTTCCCCACAGCTGTCAGACTCCTGAACTCTGCCTCCTGACATCAGGCCCACATTAAACACATGGACTGGACATACACACACCCACAACCACCTACACACACAATGGACAACTGTACCCTCATACACACAATAATAACATGGACTGAACCACCACTCTCAACCACTAGCACTTTATATAGCCTTTGTAGAAATTATCCACATATCTCACTCATCTTAACTGCACTACTGTATAATTCTGTATAAATAATCATTCTGTATAATACGATAATTTTTAATTCTACAACTGCTTATAACTTGCACAGTTCACATTTCTGTATAGCTGTATATCTCATATTTCTGTATAGTTTTTTTTTAAATTTCATATTTGTGTATAGTTTTTTCATATTTATATCCTGTTCATAGCCTGTACTTAGCTTGTACTTAGGGCTAGGCCATATTATACCGTTCACGGTAATACCGATACAATGTTAGGCAACAATAAGAAAATGAAATATCGCGATAGGATATGGGTAAAACTTTCACGGACTGCCGGGGTAGACCATGTGGAGTGAGTAGAGGACCCAAGAGGAGACAGAGGCGAGGACACAAAACTGGACTTAACAAAAAGCGAGCCTTTATTTAGGGCCGAAAACTCATGGAAAAAACAACAACAACAAAGTAACTGAGGGAAAACCTGAACATAAACTGGGAAACTATGACTCTACTGAGATTTAGACTATGACTAAACAACATAAAAACTATGACTTACTATCATTGGGAAACTGTGACAAGGGGTAGGGGAGATAACACAGACGACGCGACACTGAACACAGCAAGACTGAGGACTAAATGAGGTGATCAGAGGAAGTGGAGACATATGAGGACACAGCTGACACACATAACCTAATGACAGGACAGGGGAAGTGAAAACTAAATGCAATGAACAAAGAACAGAGGACTCTTTCAAAATAAAACAGGAAACATGATGAGACAGACCAGACAACATGGGCTTGACAACACGAGACGTGGAACACAAAGGGCAAATGAGACTAAGATCCAGGGGAAGGGGAAATGAGGAGATCCACTAAACAGAACTAAGGCTGAACAACTTAGGGGTTTAAGAGAGGTGGATGAGCTTAACCCAAATAATAAATGACAATACACAATATATAATGAACTCAAAATGCTGGGTCACAGACCCAGCCATGACAAAAACGCGCATGCGCAGTCCCTTAGTTTTCATATGCACATGGCCGAAAAAGCCAAAAGAGGCAACGGAGAATGAGAAGGGGGAAAGTGGATTTTTGAGTGAAACAGATGAACCAGAACTATTTTTTAAAAATGGTGCAACTTCACTTGTGTGGTGTTTGTCCGTCAGATACACAGAAAAGTAAATTTTTTTGTAGAACATGCATCGTTATTGCCGTATTTGTCGGACTAAGGTGCTCGTTAATCTGGGTGTAATCGGGGTTCTAAACCCCGTCCTTTCAGGTCCCAAAGTTAAACGATCACTGCAGCATCACTGACAGTTAAAAACTGTCTAAATTCTTTCGATCAGCATTGCTGCTTTACCAGGTGTAACTATGAAGTTTAACATACAGGCATCCATGAAAACAGAATTTATTACATTTAACGGAGTTAGAAGCTAGCAGGAAATTAGCGGAAGGTAGCTCGTTAGTTTCGCCAGTTACCTAAGCATGATATACCATGTTCTGACTGAGAGAATTCTGAAAAAATTCAAACATTAGCTTTCCTATCACTTCCAACATAAATGAAGACAGGAAAATAAACAGCAGCAGACGTTTGTATGGTTACTGAAGTTGGGCTAACTGGTATATAATGATGTGCTACGTATCGCTAGCGACACAGCTATGTTAGCATAATATAAACAGCGAAGCTGGAGGATGAACGCTAACATTTTTCCACTCGATAAAAGTTAACATGAAGCTTCCTGACGGTTAGAGACACATGCAATTGCATGGCAGGATGCTGTAAACGGACCAACTTCAGTCAGGAGAACAACTGAGATAATCCATCCACAGTACGAGGTTAGTCATTAATATACTGCAACAACATGGGAATGGAGCAGCTGTGATAGAATACAACATAAATGAATCAATGGTACAGAAGTGGAGGAAGCAAGAAGAATGAGTTGAATAAAGTTTGATTTATCTGACTGCTTTGTTTCGCCTAATGTGCCTTATAATCCCGTGTACCTTATGGTCCGAAAAATATGTATTTGACTT